GATTCGCGTTAATTATGGTCCATGGTGCACGTCAAGCAGAACTTGAGTCAGGTTTTCGCAAGGTGATGATTGGATGAACTTTGTTTGCACAGGCTCAAGCTTGTGCCAACCTGGTGCTAACAACAGTTTTCGCCGCAATTGAGAGGTCTAGGCCCAGCAGCGTCGGCTGTGAAGAACCCCAATGCAAAACACAATACTGTCCACCTAACACCCTTGTAATTGTACACATCAAAAATGCCACTCTCCAGGTAGGTGTGCCTACATGCGATTCAAAACACATGTGTTGACACCTGTTGCTGCTGCCGCCACTTCGAGCATCTGTCGGTGAGCCAGTGTTCTGGCACACCAAGAGTTCACAAATTCGTACACTGCTGTTGCAACTGTGGTGCATTCACAGTTTCCAGGAATGAACAACCGACAACCTCCGGGAAACAAATGGGACAGAACCAAGGAAGCATGCAACTGTGTCCATATTCCCAGTTTGGCAGTTCAAACCTGTACCTTAGTGCATTGTAACCATGCCATTACCATTACCACCAGTATGTCCGTGCTTTGCTTCAGAGTTGCACCGCACAATAAATGCATGAAAATGGCACCGCTCCACTCATTGAAAGCCAATCGGTACTCAATGCTCAGCCTGTCTCTTTGGGTGGGGGCCAACGTTGACGCATGACGCATGGCAAGAGTTAAAATGTCCGTTTCCTGCCGCTACATACAGCAGAGGTTCAGTGTTCTTGGATCCTAGGTGCCCACACTGGTTCACCCGGCATAGCATTGACTCGCACGTTGTGTGGCAGCAAGACTGGGGATGCCCGTGGCCATGAACGAATTTAGGCCGCCAAAACACCGCAAGGCTTGGCTTGATTTGGATTCTCTTCATGGAATTAATTTTGTGTTCTTTCTGCGCCTAGCCCGCCAGAAGCGGAAGTGCCGAAGTCTTTGCACGGCACTGGAGGGCAGGTCGTAAACCATCTATGCAAGGTGCTAATCCAGGTCGAAAGGATCGGAAACATTGGGTTCGTGCGCAACAAGTGGTGGTTTCGTCTGCAGTTTCAGGTGCAAAATCACGACCACAAGTTGGGAGAAACATTCCGGCACGTATTTGCAGGACAACATGGCTGCGCCGCGCGCTGTGGTCTGAAGCCGTCGAACGGACACAAATAACGTTTTCCGGGCTGCAATGTCTGAGCACTAAAAATTCATTAGGAACACAGTGGCTGGTCTGGACCAAGCTGCTGGTACATGTGGCAATGAGAAACGCGCTTGAGCCGATCAGTATTCGGAAACTTGACAGCATTCGGCAACTCGACGGTTGTGTTCAGAAACCGGCGCTAATTCGGAAACTGGAGGTTATGTTCGGAAACGGGGACGGGTGCATTCGGAAACTGGACGGTTGCATTCGGAAACTCGACGGTTGTGTTGGGAAACTGATATTCAGAAACTGCAAGGTTAGGTTGGGTTTTTTCGTCTTTGATGCCATGACACCCATTGGTGTCGTCGGCCGGCGCACAACAAGGGCACCTAATGGATGAGAGCTCTCCAGCAGCCATCGCAGAATCGCAGGCCCTAGCCGAATTACAGCGAAGAAAAACGGGAGATGCACCTTGGGACATGATGGTATACGTTGGCGCGAACACCCCAACTCTACTGGCGTTTGGTCGCGTAGGTATTGGACTTGAGCACCTGGGCAAGTGGAAGCGGGCTTGAGGAGGTGGAACTTTCAGGCATCTGTCAAAATATAAAACACCCGATGTTTTCTACGGCGATCAGGTCTCCGAACTGCGGGGGTGGCGTTCTGAAACTCCAGGGCTATATGAAACTGGCATTCGGAAACTGGAGGGTTGTATTCTGTCAGCCAAACACAGTTGGCATTATTTTGCCTCGCTCTCTTGGGACAAGCCGCTGCAGTAAAGTTAGTTCACTGCTGTGACATGTTTCAAGTCCTTCAACCTGTATGCATGAATGTGTCATTGTATTCTAGATGGATGTACGACTCCGTCTATCAAACATGCAATTCACTCCGTGGGATTTACTGCGAGTTCAGGCTCTCAAGCAGGCTCGCAAATTTTTGTCTCATGGCCGTCTCGTCTTCGTTCTGTTTCCTTTTGTCTCCCTTCTTGTCCCGTGTTGCCCCCCTTCTTGTTGGTCATTGTGTCCGCTTTGTCTTCATGCTTGTCTCCCTGTGTCTCCGGTCTTGTCTCCCTTCTTGTGGGTCATTGTGTCCGCCTTGTCTCCCTTCTGTTTCCTTTTGTCTCCCGTCTTGTCCCCCTTCTTGTTGG